TGTTTGTGTTTTTTTTTTTTTTTTTTGAGAGTTATATTAAATTACACCTGCATCTAATACAACATAGTCTAGGGTTTGTACACATAAAAACATTCACAAGTACACCTAAATCAATTTTGAAGGCAGTAAAATGCTCTCCTCATACTGACACTCAGTCACTTCCCAATCTAAATTGGATTTATTTAAATACTTTAAGAAAAATACATTTAATCTCAAGAGCAGTGCAGCTTTATTTACTTTCTTAAAGCATAAAATATATTCCAACAGATACTTTGCGTGGGTATTGTCCAATAAAACTTATCAGTGGGAAAAACAAACAAACAAACACCATTACAAAACTGCTCCCAGGGTACACATAAGAAGAAGCGAGTACCCAAATAGTAAAGTGACAAGAGGGTCTCGTGTCCTCACTAGTGGCCATGTAGGTTTCAGTGATAAACCTTCAGAATGTGAGTTTTAAGACATGTAAATCTTAGAGCAAACTGTTGTTGTTAAGTGCTGTCAAGTTGGTTCCAACTCATACTGACCCTATGTATATAGGGTTTCTGAGGAGTGGCTGGTGGGTTTGAACCACCAACATTTTGGCTAATAGTCCAGTGCTTGTCCTACATTGCCACACCAGGACTTCTTAGAGCAAACTAATTCTAGGGAAATGTTTAATTACTCTATAAAAAGCCAAAAGAATTATTTCAGATAAACTAAAAAAATGACAGTCTAAAGGTGAATTGTTTTTTAAGTGATATGCTCACCATAGGCTACATTTAAGGGATTGCATCTATTTCACTGGAAGTTACAGGCCAGGCTTTATTCCTCTTCCCGGTGAAAGCTCAACTATCCATTACTGTATCATAAATATTAAATGAGTGCTTTTATTAAGACCTAAAAAAGGACTAACAATTAAGAAAGTTCACATTCAGCATGACTGAGTCACAGAGAGAATATAAATAGAAATTTTTCTGTATTGTTATGAAGAAGAAATAAGTCTTCCTAGAATGGATGTTGATTGGACCTTTCATTGCTATTTTCATATCTATTTCAGAGGCCTGGTAGAGTGTTCATTGTCTTATCTGTAATCATCTTTTAAAAGGAAATGAACCATCAATATAACTGCTTATTATCTTATCGGAGTTATAACAAGTTTACAACAGAAAAATATGTTGTCTAGGCTTAGAATCTTGTTTTTAACTGAAGTGCATTATTTGATTTTTCTCCCCAATAGTAACAATAGTGGAAGGACACACAAACAATTGAATGAGTTTAGCTTTTCTCTCAATTGCATAGAAAATCTTTGCACTGTAAAACTTCACCTATCTAGAACTTTGCCCAAAACCAAGAAGAATGAAACAGCAGCCTCTAAGAGCTAGTTCTGATGTTGGAAAGTCCACACACTACTATTCCTGGGCACTACTCACTGGAGACTTCTGGAGACACTTGAAATCTATTCATACTTAGTTTAAGATGATTCTAACAAGCCGTGTTGGTAGGTTTACCTCAGAAGATTAAACTAAGAAAAGAGAGAGGTTAAGAAGCTACTGTCAGTGTACAATAAGGGGGAGGTCAGTACAAAATGATTAAGGCAAAGGAAGATGCTGGGAGAAGCACAAGAGTTACAAATAACAAAGATAAATACTATTACATACCCAATTCTGCAACAACAGTAATAATAGTTATCAAGGAACTCTGGTAGCATAGTGGTTACGAATCAGGCTGCGAACCTTAAGGTCAGCAGTTCGAAACTACCAGCTGCTCCGCAGGAGAAAGATGAGGCTTTCTGCTCCTGAAAAGATTTACAGCCTTGGAAAGCCTGTACAGGGTCGCTATGGGTTGGAACCGACTCGACGGCACTTAACAACAACAAAAACATCAGTGATTACAAGGAGCTCTGGTAACGTAGTGGTTACGAATCGGGCTGCTAACCTCAAGGTCAGCAGTTTGAAACTTCCAGCTGTTCCGCAGGAGAAGGATGAGGCTTTCTGCTCCCGTAAAGATTTAGAGCTTCAGAAATTCTATACAGGGTCACTATGTGTCAGAAGCGACTCCATGGCACATAACAACAACTACAACATCAGTGATTACATAAATAGACATACAAGCTAGCTAGAGGTGAGGTAAATGGGACTACACCCAAGAATATACACAGGTCTGACAGAGGATATTTCTATATTTGAGGGTTAGGTCAAAAAGTATTCTACAAAATCATAGAAGGTAGAAACCTTCATTAAATTAAAATATAAAAATATTTAGCTATTGTTTCTCAACATATCCTTCATCTAGGTTGATACATCTATAAAGAGAGTGTTTCCATCTCTCTAACCCTCTCCTGAAAGAATTCTGGGCTTTTCAGTTACACCATGTCAAAAAAGCAGTTTTGGTACACCTGAGGTGCTCAAATTGTGTTCCTTTTCAATGTTCTTTGCGTTTGTGAAACAAAATGAAGTCTGAAGGAACAAGATCAAAGATGTAGGATGAATGGTGTATCCTTTCCTAATCCTGATTGACTGTCAGGCTTAGGAACCAAGATACTCTTGTCACTCTATTATTTGGACATTGGTTTCTTCTTGTGTGTTCCTGGGAGCACTTTTTGTAATGTTTTTGTTTGTTTGTCCCACTGAAAAACTCTAATAGGATATATTGCCATAATGGAAAAAGAAAAGAAAATCTACTATGATTGATCCTTTCAAATTCCAAAAAAACAGTCACTATAACCTTCTTACTGACTTGTTTGCCTGAAATTTAACTGGCACAGCAGACCGCCTCAGAAGCCCTGTTTTGATTGGACCTTTTATTTTTGAAAGCATCCTAATGATACTAAGTGTGTTACTGAGGGAATTTGTCTATAGCCACCCACTGATTTCAGAGACATGTTCAAACATGCTTTGTTTGGAATAAATCTGTGCTTGTGTGAATTGAATTTCTAGTGGTGGTTATGTGCCATGGAGTTGGTTCTGACTCATAGTGACCCTGCATAGGGTTTCTGAGACTATAAATCTTTACGGGAGCAGAAATCCTCATCTTTCTATCACGGTACAGCTGGTAGTTTCGAACTGCTGACCCTGAAGTTAGCAGCCTAACTTGTAACCAGTACACTATTTTTTTTACTTACCCTTGTATGTATTTGCATGTGCTATAAATACATCCATGAATATGAGCACAAAGTTATGAAACTGCTTAGCCATAACCAAAGACCTTTAGGGAGCGAGTTCCTGGCCTGGGGGCTCAAGATCAGTTTCAGGTGAACTAAGGTCCATTGACATAGCATAGTCCATAAAGACAGTGTTCAACATCTTACTTTGGTGAGTAGGAACCAGAGTCTTAAAAGCTTGTGAGCAGCCATCTAATGCATAATTATTGGTCGTTCTCTGTCCAGAGCAAAGAAGAGTGAAGGAAATCAAAGATATAAGGAAACAATTAGTCCAAAGGATTTATGGACCACACGAACCCCAGTCTCCATACCCTGAGACCAAAGAGTTAGATGGTGTCCATCTACTACTGCTGACCACTCAGAAAGGTGGTCACAGGTGGTTTCTGGATAATGTGGGAGAAAAATGTGGAACAAAATTTAAAATAATACAAAAAGTCCAGGCTTACTGGTCTGATAAAGACTAGTGGAGCCCCCCTCCCCCTTGCAAGTCTATAGCCCTTAAATTCTCATCAGGTCTTAAGTTGAACTCACCCCCATGACTCAACTTCCAGCCAGGCGATAGACAGGCCTGTAAGGTGAACAAAAATACCAGGGAGGTATCCACTCCTTAGAACAATCATACAAGATCAAAACAGCAGCATTTGCCAAGGGACAAAGCTCAGAAGGCAGGAAGGGAGAGGAAAGAAGGACAAACGGAAACTATAAACAAGT